ATACCTGAGTGTTACCTACACTGTACTATACCTGAGTGTTACCTACACTGTACTATACCTGAGTGTTACCTACACTGTATTATACCTGAGTGTACCTACACTGTACTATACCTGGGTGTTACCTACAGAGCTATACCTGATGGTACCTACAGGTAGCAGAGTACAGTAGAAATGGCTTGACCCTAAAAATAAAGGGCATGTCTCAGATAAACATGGATAGTGGATTCATCCTGCACAACACACCTACATATATATATATATCTATAAACTACATTTTGAATACGTTATTTTTAGAAGAATGATTTGTTTTTCAAAAAGTGATTTCCCCAGATTTGGGAATTGTGAAAACCATGGTTACCACATCAAAAAACACCTAAATATGCAAAAAATCATGATTTTTAACCCAAAATTTGACCCCCGCAAGTAGATTTTAGGTCACCTGAGCTTTAGCTCAAGTGACCTATTGCTATCCATCTTCGTCCGGCGTCGTCCAGCGTCATTCGTCTGTTAACATTTTACATTTTCAACTTGAGCTGAAATACTGACAAAGGGATTTCATTAATATTTCATGGGAAGGTAACTGACATCTCCCTGACCAAGTGTTGATATTTTTCGAGTCGATCAGAAATCCAATATGGCCACCACGGCCGTCATTTTTAAAAAATATTTTAAACTTAAAGTCAAGTTCTGCTGGGCCGATTAAACTGAAACTTGGTAGGAATGATCGACTCATGGTCCTGACAAAGTGTTGTTATTTTACGGGTCGATCAGAAATCCAATATGGCCGACACGGCTGCTATTTTGAAAATAACTATTTCAAACTTAAAAACAAGTTCTAATAGGCCGTTGAACTGAAACTCATTCTAGGAATGATCAGCTCATGGTCCTGACAAACGATAAACTTCACTATTTTTTAATCAAATTGGTACATATTTCAACAACAAAAATAAATACTGTAGGAATCAGGTGACCATTAAGGCCCATGGGCCTCTTGTTTGGTTATATACTCTTCAATTATATATACATCAAATGTGCCTAAATATATCTGTTAACAATTTGGATATTTTCTTTGTGTTATTGCAGAAATTGGAAAAATTCTCCCAGCAGCATTTGGAATTTTCCGAACTGACAAACAGTATGATCCTTATCAAGACATCAGGAAAAATCTCTTTGCTCGGATCAGCAATGAGGTACCTCCAAGACCAGCGTAAGTCATGTACCTGCCAAAATTATTTTTATTTTTGTCAGGTGACCAATTTCGATTTATTTGTTTTTGGAATCTTTTTCTTAGGTAGCAGTGCTTTCACTAAATTTGTGAAGAAATTACAAATGCATTGATGTTGATTAATAACAACTTTATACAATCAACAACATAATTATTGCATCATACATGACACATATGCACATAACAATACGAGACGCGTGTTTGTGAGGCGCAAACTACAACTCGCCTACAAATGTCACAACGACCCACTGTTGTCCATCACATGAATTGTACACATAAAGACACAGACAGTCAATCACAGGTATCACATATAACACACAGTTCTTTAAAACACTCTGGCTTAGCCCACTTGTGACTTGTGTTCCCTAGGAAATCAGGATGTCCACCATGTTCCCTATGTTCACCGTCTTGCTGCACTCTCCTCAACCATAGTTAAATAGCTTATCTATCTCCTCCTAAATGCAGACCTCAGACCACAATTAATTCTACTATATGTTATTACTACCCAAGAAAATATGAAATTAAAATATTTTAAAACTTTGCGCAGGGTCTGGTTCTTTTTTCATATTGTAGATCTATTCAAACTGAACCTACAGTGAGCTGGAAAGTACCTCATGATTTGCATTTAAGAAAGATAATTTCATTTGAATGTCACTACCTTGCATGTATAGGGGAAAGTACCAAAATCACAAAATATCAATGCGCAACCCTCATCACTCATTGTGTCCTGCTGCGAATACATACTTGAAAACTGTGTTAAAAAGGGGTAAATCACTAGAATAGATATTGTTGAACGATTCTCTGCAAAAACAATGTATATATCTGTCGTAGAACAGACAGGAGAAATTATTTACTGACTGCCCTGAAATCTCCTTTTGCACTACATTGGTGTACAACGACCCGGAATTGTATTTGTGGTCTGATGCCAGTAGTTCTGTAAAGGAGGATAACTCCTGGACTCCTTTTTCGAAGGAGCGTTACGGTGGCTATATATACATACCGTATATACAGCATTCCGTAGGAATTTGAGATTTTTCACATTTACAGGGCCAGATTCCAACATGCACATTTTCCACGTTTTTGATATCTCGTCCCTTCTTTCTGGTGCTTATCTTTCATTGACTCACTTTATTTGATAGTGCATCTTGCGCAAGAATAGGTCCTCTACATCAGCGTTCATTGTCCGCGATGTTCTCAGCTTAATTGCTGCCATCGGCTGTCTTTAGCCGAGGGGACAATTGTTTTTTTATATAATAGCTATATTTTCAATTATAGTATATCAGTTCTATCTTCTTGTAATTTGATGTATATGTATATGTTACTGTTCTGTTTCACTGTGTCTTGATAAAGGAGCATATCGCTCCGAAAATTTGACAACCTAAACTTGTCCACACTGTTGGAATTACTTCTTTGCCCAGTTATTCGACAGTAACTTACAGAGTTATTGCCCTTTGTAATATTATTATTATTTGACCTTTTGAACACGATAACTTGAGTAAATGTTAACCGAGTTTGATGTGACTTTTTGTATGCAGCCATATATCAAAAAGATCTCGGACGAGTTCGAAAATGGGAATTATTCGACGGTAACTTACAGAGTTATTGCCCTTTGTTATAGTATTATTATTGGACCATGTGAACACGAGAACTTGAGTAAATGTTAACCGAGTTTGATGATACTTTGTATGAAGCCATATATATTAATAAGATCCCGGACTCTAAATGGGAATTATTCGACAGTAACTTACAGAGTTATTGCCCTTTGTAATAATATGATATTTGTGAACATAATAACGGGGCTGGTCGGGGAAAAAAATACAAAATAAATGGGTCTAAATGCGTTCTCTGGCCTTCCAAAGTTATACCACGGCAATATGATGGTCGAGTTCTGCTTGCAGTGTCCAGTTTTGACCACTGAAATCTTGGGGGAGCCCCGCGTAAATTTAGCGCAGATCTATTTATATATGTCACATGGTTGTTTCGAAAGTGAGGCGGTGAAGATAACAACAATAGCACGCCGGCATGTGCCATGTCGGACTCAACTAGTGGACAAGACAACAATATTATACATAAATAATTGTTTTCAAAGGTCATGTATGATGCAAGTGTAGTATTCCTACCTATATGTTGTTGTTATATATGACGGTATTGATACCTTGTGCCTGTCATGACTTTTGCATGCATCTTTTTCTTTCGTCGCGATGTTTACATTTGGCCTTGTTGATGACGCGCGTGGGGTAAAATTACATCACTGATCTTGGTCAATTGAGAGTTTTAGACTGTCAGGTGACGATTTAGGATTTCTTAATATAATTATGATTTTTAGCTCACCTGGCTGCTCTAGTTCACCTTCACTGAATGTACTAGTTGACCTTTACTGGCTGCACTAGTTGACTTTTACTGGCTGCACTAGTTGACCTTCACTGACTGTACTAGATGACCTTTACTGGCTGCACTAGTTGACCTAGTTAACTTTTATTGGCTGCTCTAGTTCACCTTCACTGAATGTACTAGATGACCTTAACTGAATGTACTGGCTGCACTAGTTGGCCTTTACTGACTCTGCTAGTTGACCTTTACTGACTCTGCTAGTTGACCTTTACTGACTGTATTAGTTGACCTCTACTGGCTGCACTAGTTGACCTTAACTGACTCTGCTAGTTGACCTTAACTGACTCTGCTAGTTGACCTTTACTGACTGAACTAGTTGACCTTTACTGGCTGCACTAAATGACCTTTACTGACTGTATTAGTTGACCTCTACTGGCTGCACTGGTTGACCTCAACTGACTCTGCTAGTTGACCTTTACTGACTCTGCTAGTTGACCTTTACTGACTGAACTAGTTGACCTCAACTGACTCTGCTAGTTGACCTTAACTGACTCTGCTAGTTGACCTTTACTGACTGTACTAAAATCTGTTGTCCTCCACCCACACTTTCTAGGTCACAGGGGTCAAATTTGTTAAAATCTTCAAACCACTCGTAAAAAGACCTTTACCAATTAAGGTCTACAGTAGTAATATCTATATTTTGTAATATATCATGCTATTAAGTTTTTAATAACCCAGTTTGAAGGTCACATGACGTATAACCCAGTTTGAAGGTCACAGGATGGATAACCCAGTTTGAAGGCCACATGAGTAAAATAAGTTCAAATGTTCAAACAAAGACCCATAAAATGTATTGGAATGATAGTTGGCCTTTATTGTAAGATTGCTTGCTATTAGGTTTGTTTTATCAGCTCACGTGGCCAGCTTCTGTGATGGTAGATTCTCAATAACCAGTGGGCCTAGGAGCATGTTATTTGGTCATTATTTGTTATGCATGCTAGGATGGACGTGCTACCAAGTTTGTTCAAATGAATGAAATTGAGATCAAAGTCAAATAGAACAGATATGTGTTAATATCTTTACACATATCCTTATAATGACCAAAAGGTCCTGGGTGTTGATTTGTGGCCAGTTAATGCTTGGATGAATAACCAGGACACGCATTCAAAGTCACAAGTGTCAAAGGCATTTGAAAAAAGTCTTTAAAAGAATTTCTTCTAAATAACCAAAAGGCATATGAAAGTGTTATTTGACCTGTAGCTTTGATTTATTCAAATGTATTTAACATTGGTCCACTTTTAAGGTTACTGTAAAAACCTGTGTAATTGGTGCACCTATGTAATTTGCACAGGTACTTTTGAGGCTGAAAATCCAAAAAAAAGCTTCTACTCAAATATTTTGCGCACCATAATTTTTGGGAAAAAAAATGATGTTCAAGTTCCGAAAATTGATCTCTGAAAATGAAAGACAAACCACTTGGGATTCTTAGAATTTTGGAATTTGTTTATTATTAGTGAGTTGATAAGTATTGTTTGCATGTACAATGATGTTTAAAACTAAGAAGAAACTGCGTAAAATGTGTATTTTGTTGTTTGATTTGAAATATCTGATAACACCTCTCACACGTACATGTGTGCGCATATCGGCATACATCAATTCATTTTAGCAATATTTTGCATAAAACATTTACTTGCTTACGAAAACATATCAATTAATAAGTAATTTGATGTTTAGTAACTGCTGGTGCATATCTCCTGGTGAAATACCTTTTATACCTTTTATTGATCATAATTAAGATCAGTGAGAAGGGCTAATATCATAGTGGCTTGTGTATTGTCACATCAAACCAGGTCATGTCACGGTTCAGTTTGGCGTTATTTTGGCGATACAATCTTTACCTACTGTAAAATCATTACAATTGGTCATCTGTGGTCATGACTGCTGGTTTGGCAACATTTAATGGTAAGTTAACCGGAGGGCATAAACCCTGACACCGTCTGGTCCTGGACAATAGGCCAGGTAGGATCGCATGCTTCAGCGGAAATTATTGACACTTCTCAACACCACAGTCAATACAAACGAAAATGACCTTGACCTACTTTAAAGGTCACAGGGGTCAAATATGTCAAAAACTTCAAACGACTTCTTCTGAAGAACTAAAAGGTATAGAATCTTCATATTTGGCTGATTGGTTCCTGGGATGGAGCCCAACAAAGTTTGAGAATGAGAATTACCTTGTTCTACTTTCAAGGTCACAGGGGTCAAATGTGTCAGACACTTCAAATGACTTCTTCTGAACAACTGAAAGGTATAGAATCTTTATATTTGGCTTGTAGCTTCCTAGGAAAGAGCCCAACAAAGTTTGAGAATGAAAATGACCTTGACCTACTTTTAAGGTCACATGAGGCGGATATGTCAAACACTTCAAATGACTTCTGAAGAACTGGAAGTTATTGAACCATAATATTTGGCTGGTTACTTCCTGGGAAAGAGCCCAACAAAGTTTGCGAATGACAGTGACCTTGACCTACTATCAAGGTCACAGAGGTCAAAACATTTTAATGGATTTGTTCTTAAGAACTAAAAGGAATGGATTCATAAGATTTGGCTGGTAGCTTTTGGAATAGAGCTTACCAATTTGAGAAGGAAAA